CACTACGCTTGGCCTTTTCAATAAAATGTGAGAAGAAAATGGAAGTAGAAATTCTGAAAGGGAAAAAAAATACCAAAAACGAAAAGAGAGCACGAATCAGAGAGAGATAGAGTACCGCAGCGAAGCGGGGAGAGCGATCGGGGAGAGAGATACCGGCGAGTGGGTCTTCAGTACTTATCGGTTTCATTGAAGAGTGTCAGAATGCGAACCAATTTGCAGGGAGAGGAGTAGCAATGGAAGACGAAGCTTGTATCTGGGTTCCAACGAACAAGTAGCAAGAAAGAAAATCATCAGAAAAGCAAAGTTCTCTTGTCATTGATGTGTCATTTTATGAATCTGAATTTAGAAATCAGTTCCTGAGAGCTCCAATAAGGTCAGCCCAACTTTTCTCTTTCTCGCGCTCTTAGTATCAGGCCCTAATTTTGAGCTTGAATTACTGTAACCTCATTTCCCAGTTGCAATGAATCTGGAAGTTGAAGTTTGAAGCTTCAAGTTTTAGTCTTTGGTTAAAAGGTGGCATTTTGAAATTGGTTTGGGTTTTCTGGGAATTAGGAGTGTAACTCATTGATTTGGGAGGGAAAGTGGACTTTCCTTGGAATTAGTGGTCATATCATTGTTTTGAGTTGATGGTTAATTTGGTCGAAGGTTCAGATAGTGGTGTTTGGGGTTTTGGGTTCATGATTTTGAAATTTCCCGTTTGGGATTTTTGGAGAAGGAGTTAGTTTGTGGGTTTCGGATCTTCAAGTGTGAACGGGCTCTGCCCAATCTACAGTTCACATGAAGTGCATGTGTTGGATATGGTTTTAGGCTCATCTATTTCGGGTTTGCTATTAGAGTCGTTAGATCTTGTTTGGAGGATTAGCATTTGGACATGTTGCAAAACCCTAATTTAGCAGAGGAATTGAGATTTTGTGGTTTAGTATGTGTTCTTGAGCAGAGGAGTAACTGTTGCAAATTTTTAATTGTCCTTTTGTGCATGGAATTATAGGTGCTTGCAAGAGATGAAACCGCCACAGCCACATCAGCAATCACGGATCAATCTTGTAGAACTGAAATCTCAGATAGTGAGGAAGCTTGGACCAGAGAGGTCAAAGCAATACTTTCATTACTTGAGCAGGCTGTTAGGCATGAAGATAGGCAAGGTTGAATTCGACAAACTTTGTTTCCGGATTCTCGGAAGAGAGAACCTTTCACTCCATAATCACTTCATACGTTCAATCTTGAAAAATGCCTGTAGTGCGAAGGTCCCACCATCAAATCATGATGACAATGAACTTCTAGTGCATGCTACTGCAGGTTCCAATAAAGAGACTTCAGGTGATGCCGTTGAGCGAAATGGACCCCTTGGAACCAAAGGGAAGAGTATTTCCACTTCTCTACGACCAACAATTACTCGACCGTGTGATTCTAAAGTTATTGAGGAGAATAGGGATTACATTGCACCTCGTGTAGATGATTTGGGCGTTGACCCTACAAAAGTTTCAGTATTGACTATACCAACATCTGTTCCTGTTTCTGTACATAACAAGGACGGAGTGAGAAATGAAGGGGAAGAAAGTCGTGCTAAGGTCCAACCTCAAGCTCCACTTGGCATTCCATTATGTAACGTTAGAACATTACCATTGATGAGTGACAGTAAGCGTGTTTGTACCAGTGGTGCTTTGTTAGACACTTTGACTCTACGAGAACGCATGGAGCAGATTGCTATAAAACATGACCTAGAAGGGGTGCCTATAGATTGTGCAAATTTATTGAATAAAGGTTTAGATTCTTACTTAAAAAGTATAATCATACATACCGTTCAACTTGTGGAAGCAAGATCTAGGCGTGAGGTAACAAAACCCATAAAGAAGCATCCGATAAATGGGAAGCTTGTTAATGGCAAGGAGCTACGTACTTGTAGGCCTTTGGAAGTCATAAAGGAGAACACCCCACCTAGCGTAATATCATTGCAGGATTTTAGGGTTGCCATGGAAATGAATCCCCAACAACTAGGTGCAGACTGGCCATTGTTGCTTGAGAGAATATGTACAGAGTCATTTGATGAATAAATGAATAATATGTGATTTCCTTTGGTATACGGTCAAGTAGCTCTTGGTGTGGTCCCTACTCCCCCCGGATGCATGAAAGTCATCTGAAAAGATGGTCCTCTTCTCTGTTCTCTCTAAGGCCTTTATGTAAAACACTAAAACTTGATGCTGGAATTTTCTTAGTGGCCTTTATGAGTAGTCTTGCAGCTGTTGACATTTAGACAGGCAGTGGGGACAAGAGTGCAATAGCAGGGGTATTTTTGTCTTCGACACAACTCAATTTCACAACCACCGAAGGGTTGGCCCCTCCAACAGAAGTTTGACCATCTGGTTTTCCTGTTGTATGATTAATGTAATTCTCACCGCATATTTTCTGCATTGTCTTGTAATTTATGGTCAATGAGGATTTATAGAACAGTTTTGCAGGAATAATAGAATAGTTCATTAGCTGGAAGGAAAGGGTGAACCATTCTAGAGTTCATGTGTATGGCTGTATGTATCATCAAAGTCAAGATTTGATTGGAATCCACCATTGACAGAAAAAAAAAAATCCATCACTAGCTCGACCTATTAAAATCAAAATTTTTACTTTCTTTTTTACTTCTGGATGTGTTAATTTATTCTAAAATTTTCTGTTTCTCTTAGAAATGCACTTCACAGTTTTAGTGTATATACAAGGTTCTGGTTCTGTGTCAAACACACTTTGTAGTCATTCTTTTGAATGTTTTAATGAGCATTATTCAGTTCATACTTTCAATCACTGTTGAATTACTTGTGTTTCTATAACAGGGTGATTCTATAAGTATGAGTAAAACATAACACATTTATCCAAATAGGAGTATTGATGTTGTTGTTTCTGAAAACAAGACTCACCCACTCCTAAAAAAGGAATTGTTTACTACTTTTATTCTTTTTAATAACTTGATGAGTGCTGAGTCCTTATTTTAGAACAAAATAGAGACACTGCTGGTTTTTGCGCATGGCCATATTTTACTCGTATTTGCAGTAATTTGTTATCTCCTGATACATTTCCAACATGGTAATTAATGTTATTTAGGATGTCAACTAAACAGATGCAAGGATGCCCTGACTAGTAGCTATATGAGGACTGAAAAAAGATGCATTTATGTGTTCTCATTCGATGTTTATTAGTCAGGATGATGTGGTTATACATAAAGAAGATATCAGTTCTATTGAGCACACTAGAACACTGTCAGAAATCCCAAATGATGAAATGATTTCAGATATTTTTTCTTTCTTAACTTTAATTCTGTTATGCTGTTTTTCCCTATTTCCTTTTAGGGGTAATTGTTTAATCATTGAAGGTCAGAACTCTTCAATTAACGCTGTAAGATCAAGACTGATGACTTCAGCTCTTTTCTGGTACTCTGTATTTAGCTATTTGTGAGGTCTCATGATTCATCTGTTAAATATATGTGGGGTAATCTGAAGTGAGGTTCATTCCTGGAGGACCAGTGGTCATTATTGCAGGTTTAAAGTTTGAACCATCTAACAAAGTCTTTCTTTCTCCAAGTTTTTTTTACATCTTACTCTGGTTCTTGTCGGTTATAATAATAGAGACACATAAGTGTCAACTGATGTTGGTTTTATAGAAGAAGTTGTTTGTATTTCCCCTATGCGATTTTAAAAAAGCAAATACGTAGTACTCCCTCCGTCCCTAAATTATCTTCCAAAGTACATTTGGCACGAGGATTAAGATAGTGGGTATTGTGTGGTAGAGAGTTGTGCAAAAGAGAGAGAAATGTGTGAGAATGTGTAAGAGTTGCTTTGAACCACAAATTCTTTGCCAAAAAAAGGAAATTTGGAAGATAATTCAGTGACAGAGGGAGTACTGTTTATGTACCGACAATCTGCCTTAGTTTCTATTAACCATACAACCACTCTACTGTTGATTTTGCAGTTCTATATTTAACCTATAACCTATATGTTGCTTTCATGCCATGAAAGATCCGGGGAAGGAAGTATGCAACTTTAACTTGATCTGTTGACTCTTAGAACTTAGATGCTGTTTGCTAATTACAGGATGATTTTTTAGATCAATCCTACAGTGGTTGATGCTGATGGCTTTTATGAGATTTTTCTGTCTCCAGTCTTATTCCTTGAACAGGTATTGTATTTTGAGATGATAAATACTTCGTATATTTTTTCATATAGTAACAAATCTTTTTGAAAATTACATGATATCACCTTGGCAGTGCATGCTGCTAAAAAGATGCAGCAAATATACTTAAGTGTTCAACTGCTCATGGTGATTGTGATAAAATTTAAAATTGACTTAGGGGGTCACTCAATTACGTTCTAAGACTTTTGGGTCAAACTACATGAAAAATTTAAATTCAACCTTTTAGCTTTTCCAATTCAAGTTCTTATAAAGCTATCATTCTCTTAACTTGTCTGATGTGGAATTCAAATGATCTCCGTAAGTGGAGAATCAGGTCTTTTGAATAGGTTATGCCAGATCATAGTATGAGCTGAAGCGAGTGGACTAGATGAATTCATGTGGGAGTTGTGGTCTTATTGGGAAAAGCATCACTAAAAGATTAAAACCAATCTATTAACTAGTTCAAATTATAAACCACAGTTTTTCTTCGCCTTTCTGGTGTGAGACTCTAACAAGAAGGGTATGCTTAGAAACGTGCTGTAAATCATATTCATAATTTTCCTTCCCCCTTCAATTATCCTGTTCTGTGACATAACATCATTCAGGTTGGTGAGAAGAGATATTCTATTTACAAGTGACTAGCTTTTTCTTCTCAAAGCCGGCTTAGTACGGGGCGTAGCAGGGTGAAATAGATACACAACCTTCAATTTACACTATCATATACTGATATAGACACTAAATATATCTGGACTCATATCATGTAACAGATCATACAGTCATAGTATGATTCCTCAGCATGTCTTCCTTGCACACATTTAGGATTACTCTATAGTGCAGCAGGTCGACTAGCGGGAGAGAGAGACGAGCAACTTGTGTGGTTTGACCAAACAAAAATTCTCCAAAAAGGTCGGTGTTGTTTCTGCTTATTATTTGCATTATCATCATGCCCAAGAGAAGTCAGCTTGGATTCTGCTTGTCTTAGCATCTCCCACATCACCTGGACATCCTCGTACCCACAAGTTTGTATGTCATCATGAAGCTTCAAAAGGCCTGCTGCACCTGGGAGGGGAAACCGAAAGCACGTCAGTTATTTGTAGTTCCATTCTGGCGAATTTTTGCTTATCGAGATAGTATGATAGAGAGATGCTAATATGATTTTTTTTTTGTGCAACACAGATAAAGGAAGTGGGCACCACAGAGGCCATATAGGGAAACATCATTTCTAAGAATGTGGGAGACCATATGCAGCCATACAGGTACATGTGAAAATATAAAATTGTATTCTAAATGTTTCAAAACATGTGGAATGTGTATATATAGGGGCGTATGTGGTACAAAATGAGTTATTCGTGCAAAATTTGTATGATGCATCTTTACTTTATTTGTATTGCATATTGATGTTCAAAGTGTTGCATATTATTCTGCGATGAACTAAGCGGTTGCGTATTAATGTTCAAATTGTTGCATCCGGAAAAAATGGTTTATTTATAGTTTTTCTCTTATTGTACTACGTATGTATATATGTATATATATACACACAAAAAACCAAAATATGTATACACATACACTAGATGCATTTGTCTATAACTTTATAAAACTATAGCCTGCTTGATCAATGTTTTCATCGGATAATTAAAGGACTAAAGCTAATCTAAATGTGTGGTCTACTTTAATTTCTTTGGATTTATGGCTAAGTACGAAACCAAAAAGAATGAGAATCCTATTACTTTGTGGCTAAGATTTCCGAGCACAAAAACTTCACTTAGTTTTGTTTTTTACTTTATTCCAAAGTATTCCTCATTTCACGTAATTTAAGATACTCCATAGTAATTTAAGATTGTGTTTCTAATTGTAAATTGTAATTTAAGGAACTCTACTACTTGAGTCAATTTTGATTCGATTCGATTCATTTTTGTCGATTAGTATCAGTTTCGGTCAAGAAGTGATGCAAGTATTTTGGAAGCACGTGAAAAAGAACCATCGGTTCCGAACAGTAAGCCTACCCCGGTTCTGGTTCAAAACCCGCCGATTCCAGTTTCAGTTCCGGTTAAACTAGAAATTGGGGGCAGGTCTAAGTAGGAGTATAAATTGACAAACACATAGACGCGGCGGCCCGGCGGTCGCTTGAGGTTCCGGTGCTACCCGGATTCTTGCCATTGGTATCGAATCTTGAGGAATCAGATGCGTACTATATATATTGGCTGATGGATCAGCAGACTATTACAATATTCCTTCCCCTCCACTTATCTATGCTTATCCTTGATAAAACACCTCTTTTGAACTTGAAGAGTTGCCTCATTATCCAGTTGTTAAATTTATGGTTTGGAAATGACTTTTTTACCCACTCTTATTCTTAACTATATTCTACTTGTAAAAAGGGAATATTCTTGTTCGAGGTAGAGTTTCTTTACTATTTAAAATGATGAATCATTAATCGAACAATGTCAATACACTAAAACCACTGTTCTGGACTAGGACTCCTAGGAGTGGTCGGTTTCACTACCCCTCATTTTTTTGTCTCATTACGTATAATGATTACACAAAATTCTTAAAATATGCATTATTAGGAAATATTATTAGAGGTAGAGAGACTAAAGAGGCTGTTTCAATGAATAGCCCCCAGAACATATGAAAAGTTGAATGTTAGAAAATTCTCTCGAGATTATTATTGCTAGCAGATATTGACTTCTGGGGCAATATCTGAAAACGGGTACAGAAAGAAAAAAATACTAATTTTATTTTGTGTGTGACCCCCTCTCACCCCACCGTAGGTGGGAGCCTTTGCGGCACTGTGGTAAATGATGATTGATTGATTTTGTGTGTGAGTTTACCTTGGAAAATAAAATACAAAAAGCTGAACTAAGTTTTTAAAATTTAGTCATATGTTTAGATTTCTTATATTTAAGTAATAGAGATATTGTAGTATGATAAAGTCAATATTGAAAAAAATGTTGAAAATGGCCTTTGTATTGGAGTTTGGAAATAAATTCATTTCTATTTCATACTTTTTTCCGTTCCAATTTTCCTATCTATGTACTGATTTACTTTCCTTGGTATTTGCCCACTTGAATATATACCCTTAGCAATTTAAGATGAAAATGGAAGAATTGAAAGAAAGAATATTAGGAACATACTTCCAATTCACACCTCCTAAATAATTTGTTTTTAGCTGATTTAAAATTATGTGATATTTTAATATAATCCTTTAATAAGTATATCATGTATTCAAACTATAGTTATTAGGATTATTAGCTTATTTTATCCCAAATTAAACTATCATCAAATTCACAAATCTATCTTCATTTTTATAAAAAAAAAAAGACTCAAACTTCATGTTTTTTTAAACAATTATGCTTTTCATTTTTGTTTTTTCAAAATTACACATTTTTATCAATGCCAATAAGATATAAGCAATACAATTTTGTAAACTTAAAACTAGAAAGAAGTGAAAAAATATGAAATATAAATAGAATTTTCTTCTTAATTTTTACTAATTGTGAGAAAAGTTGAAGTTTGAGTCTTTTTTTGTTTAATAAAAGTAAAAGTATGAGATAGATTTGTGAATTTCATGATAGTTGGGCGTCCATAACTTCGCTGTCTTTTCGTTTAGCAGTTTAGCGTCCATAACTTCTAACACGCTAGTATTGATATATGAATGTGTGTGAAAACAATGTTATAAATATTATAAATGTTAATGATTTTTAATTTAAAGATGACTAGGAGCACAAAAAAATAAAAAAAATCTTAATATCATTATAGTAGGGAAAAAAAGTTCAATTTAAAGATGACAAGTGGAAATAATAAGTTAAATTATCGTTATTTTCATTAATAATTGAATGCATGGAATGATATTAATGATAACAGGTCCAATCTCTTTGAATTAGATTTAATCTACTCTCGTCATCAATAAACTTAAGTGCATAAGAAAGGGCCCAATCGGTGCACCATCTCCCACACCAACAACTAGCACCGACACACACAAGCTAAAAAATATAAAAAAAACAAAAAAAGGTCAAAAAACAAATTAATTGAAATCCAAAAACAAAAGAAAAATCTAAAGAGAGGATACGTGTCATGATACTTCACGCACAACTCCTCTACGTATCCAAATTCCAATCCCGCTCTTATCAATCGTTGACAAAAAGTGTCCGGGACAAATATTTGTTTTCCATAAAAGTGATCGAACTAATTTTGCAGGAAATTAATTAATAAATTAAAGCTCAGAGCTGCGTGTAGTTGAAGGGAAGGATTCTTTGTCTTGGATTAAAAAAAAAAACTCACTTTATCCATCTAACCTTCTTCTCTAGCTCCTTAAACTGAAAAAATTGAATCAAGAACTAGAGATGAACTTAAACGGAGGGAAGGATTTCTACTTCTCCACCACTCTGTCGAGTCGGGATATGATCAACGCTCTTGGATGGGCGATTATACTTTTTTTTAGTTGAGAAACACGGCCAAGATTTCTACTCCTCCACCGCTCTGTCGGGTAGGGAGGGTCGGGATATATGAGGACGTTTGGGTGGCTGAATGGGTGATTCTACTTTTTGGCGGATCTAAGCCAACCCGCTGCTAAAAGCAGCAGTTTCACGTTTACAAAATTCAGCGGTTTGAAGCATCCGCCTTTTTCCAAACGGACCCTTCTACTCCTCCACCACTCTGTCGCGTCGAGAGGGTCGGAGATTTGGAATATAAGGGTGATTGGGTGGGCGATTCTACTTTTTTGTTAAATTGAGAAAGACGGACTAGCCATCCCTTTCTCTAGTTGAGAGAGAAGGACGAATTACTAACCTTGTTTACGAGCCTTAACGCGAGCTGAAACGGCCAACCAAACTTTTCTGACCGGAAAAATCAACTTACGCCAACAATCACCCATCTTGGGTTTCTTCCTCCTCTTATCTCCGGCAGCCCGCAATCTACTCAATAATATCATCTTTGTCGTCGTCGTCGTCCCGGGGGCTTCCCCTGTTCTTTGTATCTTCTTCACTCTCTTCTCGACCTGTGTATATGAACGATCGACACAGGCACACATGGACAACATGCTAAAATGACATGGACTCAATCGATCAACAGAGAGAGAGATAGACAATATAATGGGCTAGGCTGCTGGGGGTGTTTTTCTTATACTACGTACATAAAAAAAAGGATGTATATATTCTCTATATATACGGAGTATATAAATGTAAAGTGGCTTGGGAAGCTGGGGTGACGGAGCTTTCGGGTGGAACAGTGGAGGTTGACCGTTGGCCTATGTGAGAGTCACTAATGGAACAGAACTTTTGTTTGATGGGGTGCTCTAAAAGATTGTAATTAAGGAGTATGACCATAGGAATATGTTTGGTTATGTTTGGTGTACACAAAAAGTGTATACTTTTTATACACTGCCTGTGTAAATAAGCAATTAGGAGATAAATGATGTCTCTTTGTTAATGAATTGCATGTGTACACAGACAACTAAAGGGGATGTATACAAAATGTTTACACATTTTGTGTACCTTAAACAATTTTGAATTAAGGTGTACAGTAATGTCACATTTTTTGTTCATAGCAACTTCGTGTAATGGGAATAAAATCATTTACATGCCCATGGTTTGTTCATTTTAAGGTGAATTGTTTGTGATATAGTCACGTAGATAATTCACTTTAAAAATTGAGAAAAAAGTCCCTTTCTTGTTTGTTAAATTACACCAATTTTAAATTTATATTGTTTTTATGGATTAGTTTTATAGCGTTCTATACTCTCTCCGTTCCATTGAACTTTGCAAACTTTCCTTATTCGGTTGTCTAAATTTTTTTTTATCATTTTTGCACTAAGGAGGGCAAAGTCAATTGAGACGAAAGTAGTATTTTATGTAGTAGTGTTATAAAGAATTTTTCTTAAAACAAACTTATATATATACATAGTATATTAATAATAATAATAATAATAATAATAATAATCAAAACCCTATTGGAGCAATATAATACTACCTCCGGTTTTTTTTAATCTTCACAGTTTGACTTCACACAAAATAAGGAAAGAAATTTGACTTTACTGTAGAGTACATTGTTGAGGCACTGTTTGACACTGTTTGGCACTGTAGAGACACTGTTTGGCACTGTTGATACACTATTTGGCACTGTTTGGCACTGTTTTGATGTAGATTTCTTTGCCAAAAAAGGAAATAAGGAAGTGTGAAGTTTATTTTAGACCGTCACAAAAAGGAAAGTGTGAAGTTTATTAAAAACCGGAGGGGTAGCAATTAATGCTACATTGGAATGTTAAATAGAGACAAAGAAAAAAAGGTCAATTCAATGAGGACGCTCAACCAGTTAAATCCGAATGAAACCATGGCAAGGGTGTAACTTGATTCAGTGAAAAAAGTTGGGCTTTACCCCGTTGATGTAAGATGGCTCTAGTAATTTCAAAAGCCCCAAAGAACAAAGTTATCACACATGCTCGCTCTTAAACCATTCACATAATTCTGATCAAGAACATCCAACGGTAAGGGGCATAAGACATGCACCTCTATATTTCACCAGAAAAGGAACTCTAAGAAGTTGTTCGTCTTAATCTTATTACTTATTGCTTATTCTTATTTTATTAAGATCAGACCAGATCAGAAAAATTCAGATCAGAAAAATTCAGATCAGATCAGATCAGAAAGATTCAGATTCAGATCAGATTAGAATAATTCAGATCAGATCAGAATAATTCAGATCAGATCAGATCAGAATAATTCAGATCAGATCAGAAATATTCTGATTAGATCAGGAACATTCAGATCAGATCAGGAACATTCAGATCAGATCAGGAACATTCAGATCAGATCAGAAAGATTCAGATCAGATCAGACCAGATCAAAAAATTCAGATCAGATCAGAACTTAAAAAATTCAGATCAGAAGCATTCAGATCAGGTGAAGAGAACAGCTTCTAAATCTTGCAGGTTTGTCAACCATCAATAAGGAGTTAAATTTAGAATGTGTTCTAATTTCACCGATCACTAGAATAAAAACAATCCATGTGATCTCATAGTCTTGACACAACAATGACTCAGATGGGGTGAGTAACGAAGCGATCAATACAAACCTCTTATGAGCACTCAAAAACACTAGATCAAAGATGTTGGAGAATATAGACCTGACAAGCAATGCTCACCCACTATATATAAAATATCTTGATAACACTGGAAAATAAACATATCAAGTGAGCTAAAAACGCCTATTCATAAAATCTCTTTTCATGGCCGAATAAAGAAACATTGAAAGAAGAGAATGAGGCGGTGAGTGTTTCCCTATTGCCGCTCCTCTCACGCGGCTAGCTATGAGAAGTAGTAGCCTTTTCATGCAGATTCCCTATTGCATTAAAAAGTTTTATTAAAATAAATAAATCAATTTTAATGTAAATTTTTGAACCCGTTCCTATTTAGGATGTTTTTACTTGGACTGTAATTTGCTGGTCTGGTCTGGTCTGGTCTGATAAGGTCTGGTTTCTTTGTATTTTTAAAACTATCCAAATTTGGTCTGGACTGGTCTGATATGATCTGGTCTGGTCTGGGACAAATTACAGTCCAAGTAAAAACATCCTTATACTGTGGAGTAGTAGACAATGAAATAAATTAATGGTTAAAATCATGAGTTAAAAATCCAAATGACAAGTTTATAAAGAGTATAATTAGTTATGAATTTGCAATGTTTAGTTACACTTGAAGTCCGTTTAGTGACTCTGCTTTTCGGCTTATCAGTCAATTTTTCACCAAACTTGTATTTTTTTATTCCGTGCGCTGAATTGTGTAATAATAAGAAAAAGTAAGGTTGTAGTTACTTTTCTGACTGTATTGGCTAAAGTTACTGTAGAGGATCATATTAGTTATTTTTTCATGTAATTTTTTTAATTTATTTTACTAATAAAATGTATTTTAATTTTTTTTCTCCATAAATCAGCAAAATCAGCCAATGCAGCCAGAATTTCATAAATTTCACGTTGATTCATTCGATTTTAGTCTTGATAAGACCAAAATTTCGCTTACTAATTATTTATTCCTTTTGAAATATTAGTTAATTATTAATTACAAATAAGTTTACTATGCCAGCATCGTTTAATCGTCTCCCCTAGGTTTAGGGATTGTTTTCTCCAATTTTCGTCTTCGACGAAGTGCTGCTTTCTTGCAACTTTCATCTGCCTTTCTTGAGGCTCTCTTCTTCGGCAGACCGCAACGTCTATATGGCGGCCAAATGTTGTGTACCCCCAACAACAAGTGGAAAGTTTCGAGGACGTCGTTCATGATTGAGATCATGAGGTCATGGACGGAGCATGAGGCCAGGGGCTGAAACAGATCCAGATTGGAGGCAAGGAGCGGAATAAGCTACAATACTGTTGGATCACCCCCCCCCCCCCCCCCCCCCCCCCCGAATCGCTGTCATGGAGTGCAGGAGAGTTTAAGGTTTGGAAGCAATATTTTAATTTTAATATTTGCTTGCTATTTATTTTTCATGATCAGACTAATTATATTTCTATTGATTACTTTTGTTAGTTGTTGTAAGACTCCCGCATTAGGATTGGATGGTGAGAGGTCTGCTTTAATTGTCGTTGGCTCATTTATGTCCTTTATAGGATCTACGAGTTATATTGCATTTTTGGAAGTGAAAGACTCTAGGTCTATTTCGAGGGTTAATGGTTGCTTGTGATCCTTTTGTCATTTTATCCACTATCTGAATGTTGTGCTATCAATTTAAGTCATCCGTTTTGACGATAAAAGAAATGTGACTTATACTTTGTGTATTATTGCTTAAAAAGCTTAAACTTGTATTATTGCACGGGATATACTCCGTATATATTATGATATGAATATATGACATTTGACGTACAATTTCATGATCGACAGACAATTTCTACAGTGTACGCATACAAGTGTATAACTATATAACTGATGAAATCAATAGTAATTTGATGAGAAATATAGCAATCGCAAATAATGCTGACCTGTACAGCATTTCTACCAGCATGTCTATTCCACAATACATACATTATTCCAAGTTAATTTTTCGAATTAGTTGTAATGAATCAACTTCCTTCAACTCGATATCTTTTACTTAATTTCTAAATGCATTACTCCAGTCTCCAGTAATGAAAAGTTACACCTTTTCATATGTTATACTTTGATCATTGGAATTAATTAATCAGGGCGGCCCTAGGGGGTGAAAGGGGGCGGGCGCCCTAGGTCCAAAGAAGTGGGTAAAATATAGGCCCGAGTTTAGTTCTTTGTAATAGGTGTGAGTAAACTGATTTTTCAACCCTAAACTAACAATTTTCGGGTGGAATTTGTTGAAGTTCTTCAGAATGGATTTTTTGGTGAGAACTTATGATCATGTTTTCTATGAACTGTAGATTATGTAAAATAATCAGTTTAAAGTTCAATTTAGAAGTGAGTTAAATATACTATTGAAAAACATTGTGTTTTATGCATATATTGGCCTGGCCCATATTTTTTCAATACTTTATTTAACTGACTTCACGATTGAATTTTAAGTTGAAATTGTATGGACATAATCCACACTTGATGAAAAACATTCTCTTAAAATTTCACAAAAAAATTACCCGAAAGCAGATTAGTCTGATGTGGTTATTTGATTAGTTTATTAATCGATTCCATTCATAGTTGATTGTTTCAGTTCTTAATAGTTGATTGTTTTCTATTGAGTGTTGGTGTTATAATCTGTTGATTTTTTAGACAAACATTTTGAATTATGACAAAATTTATAAACTTAATTAATTTTAAGGTGTAATAAAAATGAATGAATCTGAATAGGATATATAAAAAAGAGGAGAAGGGATTTCATCCTAAAAGGTCAACCTGATAGGAGGAGTGACCCGTGTGTTAATATAGCACTTTGTTCATCCAAATGTTTCCAATGTGGGACATTTTAACACCCCTCCTCATGGCCAGACACTTCGTCTGGATCGTGCAATCATTCATTATTTTTCATCGGTCCGTTTTTTTTTCATCCGGCCGTTTTATAATCGTGTCATCATTTTTCATAAGGGGCCCCACACCGTGGATCGATGTGGCTCTGATACCATGTTAAGACCCGGGGTTCCATCCTAAAAGGTCAACCTGATAGGAGGAGTAGCTCGTGTGTTAATATAGCAC